TGATTTTTTAAATCTGTGAAAATTTAGTTTTTTGGGTTTTTTTTGAAAGGGTGGGGAGGTCTGTGTTGTCAAGAAACGGGGAAACTCACAATGGATGTATTTTGTGATGTCAAATGGCTTCAGTTGAAGGTCACTGGTAACATTGGTCTCATTAAGAAAGAACTCTGCCTTGAATCATTAAACCATTTGTACATTGCTGGCATGTTATCATGATGTGGACCAAAGATGGACCAACTCTTTTATTTTTTTAAATTATCTATGAATGTCACCAATAGAAATAATGTATCTATGTAAATAAATCCGTGTTGATGCCAGTTACATTTAAGTTGTCTGTGGTGAAAAGAATTTATAAATACCAGTTGTTTCTTTGTCAATGTTATAGAAGTGTTATAGAAGTTAATGTAAAGCCCAACAAGTGAGTTAAATTTGAGTTTTCATTTTTTATGTTTACAATTTCACATGCTGTAAATAATATGTTTACAGCTTATAGCGTTAAATTTAAAAAAAAATAATGGTATTCAGAAGCAGTTGAAATTAAATTGTTGCCACCAGACGTTAATATAGAGTATTATAATTTACTCTACAATTCAGTCTTGATTAAAACTTGTACGGGGGAAAATAAAGATGTTATTTTATTAATTGTTTATGTGATAGCAGTAGTGTAATTTCTCAGATATATATTTTGATCCTGGCCTTTCAATCTGTTTCAAATTTTTTTACAACTTAAGCTTACTTTAAAGAAATCAATCTGGAATTTATTATTTGGTTTTTATTTTTTTAAATGACTAATCAAATTAGAAGTACTTCAAATACAAAATTTAATTTTAAAAAAGCAGAACCAGATAAGAGAGAAAAAACAAACATTAATCATCTTTGAAAGCGCCCTTGATTTTCTTCCTGTTGTGATAATTAATTACAAAAATTGAGTTATTGACCTTAAGCTTTAAGACAAAGTAAACAGTGTAAGAATCTAATCAATAATCTCAAGATGTAGAAAAGTACTACCAGCTGGCAGAGTTGACTAGAGAAGTCTAAGGTACCAGCTGGCAGGGTTGACTAGAGAAGTCTAAGGTACCAGCTGGCAGAGTTGACTTGAGAAGTCTAAGGTACCAGCTGGCAGAGTTGACTAGAGAAGTCTAAGGTACCAGCTGGCAGAGTATCTAGAGAAGTCTAAAGTACCAGCTGGCAGAGTTGACTAGAGAAGTCTTAAGGTACCAGCTGGCAGAGTTGACTAGAGAAGTCTAAGGAGCCAGCTGGCAGAGTATCTAGAGAAGTCTAAAGTACCAGCTGGCAGAGTTGACTAGAGAAGTCTAAGGAGCCAGCTGGCAGAGTATCTAGAGAAGTCTAACGTACCAGCTGGCAGAGTTGACTAGAGAAGTCTAAGGTACCAGCTGGGAGATTTCACTAGAGAAGTCTTAAGGTACCAGCTGGCAGAGTTGACTAGAGAAGTCTAAGGTACCAGCTCGGAGAGTTCACTAGAGAAGTCTTAAGGTACCAGCTGGCAGAGTTGACTAGAGAAGTCTAAGGTACCAGCTGGCAGAGTTGACTAGAGAAGTCTAAGGTACCAGCTGGCAGAGTTGACTAGAGAAGACTTAGGTACCAGCTGGCATGGCAGAGTATCTAGAGAAGTCTAAGCTACTAGCTGGCAGAGTTCCTATTTACCACTTAAAAAAATGCGAATTACGATTTCTTTAAAAACAAATAACTTATTTTTATTCAATGGGACTACATGGTTGGCCACACAAAAAAAAAACAACCAAAAAACTCTTATCTCAAAATATTGAGACTTTAACCTGAGAAGCCTCGTTAAAGAATTGGACCTTGGATCATTTCACATAAGTTTTTATTTTGATAGATTCAAGATCATGTAACATATTCTTTTAATGCTCACTGTTTCAGGACCATAAAGATACCTTGCACAACAAGCAGATTATTTTTCATTTTAGCGGTGTTCAGAAATAGCAGCCTGTGTATTTAGTAGGTTTTTTTTACTGTTAAAAATTATTATACTAATCAAGTGTAATTTATTCGTTAACAAACTAAGGTTTATTTAATCAATGGTTCTCACATTTCCGTGTTCAATTTTGCTTATTGTAAGTGGATTATTGTTTCACAATGACACACATAGAAACATAGGCCTACTTTAATGAACAGTTGACGTATGCTGTTGCTGCTCTTGGTTTCTTGAGTCTTTAAAAGATAGATAAGACATGTATTTAAATTCACAAAATACATTTTATGAAAGTAACTATTTTTTAATAATTTTTTTTTTTTAAAGCGCGGCCTATGGGAACCAGTCTCAGTGCAAAAAAGTACTAAAATTAATTTTTAAAAAAAAACTATTTATTTATGTAATCCTAATAGACATTACCTTTCACCTGGTGAAAGAACAGTCGAGCTATCATTTCAACCAAGATGAGAGGAAATTATAATTTTATTAAAGGGAGGTCATGAACTTTAAAACCACATTATGTGATCATTTTATGGGTATTTTTATTTGCGACTCAACAAATTACCATTGAAAACATTAGAGACCCAAACTAAAGAGACCTTAATTAAAACAGACCACTGTCATTCATAATATTCTTAGCTTTTAGTTTGTGATAACAAGACAATCTTATGATAGCTTGATAGTTCAGTGGGAGTTGTTCTGTATAAATTTATTGTAGATTTAATGTGTAAAATTGTGTAAGTTTTTTTTTTGTTTTTTATTATTAACTTAGGTTAATTTGAAAGAAATGTTAAACTTAAAACAGTTGTACATTTAGCTTCTGTTGTAAAGCAATGGATTCTGGGGGATTGATTTATGATCATGGGCTTTTGTAAGTTTCCTCATTATAACTGTGATGACATATCATGCAGTGGTCTTGTGTATGTCATTTTTCTTATCTTAACAATGTGATGCATACAAATTGTGAATGGCCTGATATACTACAGTGTGATGTGAATAGTAATAGTCTTATATACAACAGTGTGAAATAAGGGGCTTGTAAATGATTAGGTATGTATAATATATTTACAGTGTGATATAAAACATTTAAAGATAGTCCTATGATTTACACATTATAATCAATCCTTTTCTCGTTCGGCCTGGTTCTTGTATAAAGAAATAGGCCTACCACAAATTGGTAAACGAAAAAAATAAGCTTTTCTTTTTTTTTTAAATGAACCTTCTAAACATGTACCATATGCTGCTGTCTTGTATACATACATATTTCAATACACATAATATTTGGAAGTAGTGAAATAGTCTATTATATAGATGAGTATAACCTTATGTTGAAATTTTGATGTTGTAAATATTGTTTTATTGTGTTAAAAATTAAATTATGAGCTTGGAAGATTGGATTTAATGTAGAAGTTTGAAGCATTTAGAAATTGGTTCTCAAATTATTTTTTTTGTTTATTGATATTTGATATTTATCAATGTATGTGTAATTTTTAACCGATCTACTGTGTGCTGTGTCCTTAACAAATGAACAGATTAATTCATGATATAAAACATATTTGTTTTACACTAGTGATAACCTGTTGGGTTCTTAGTAATGTTCCTGGTCCCTAAGAAAAACCGTTTGAGAGTAATGTTCTAAGTTTAACACCAAGAGTTTTAACTTTAAAAAAAAAAAACTCAACTTGATTTAAATTTTTATTTACACTTCCAAAATTGAATATATTTAAAAGAAAATACATTAATAATGATTTAATGCAGTGAACTGAAGCTAGGAATAAGCTATCCTAGATTCCTTATGGTAAATAACAAGTAAATTTAAGAGAGAAAATCAAAATGGAAATTTTTATTGTTGAATTTGTTGAACATTTTATTTATTTGCGTCTGGTGAACCTGTCAATACATAAGTCCCTCCCCCAATCACTGGGCAAAATGCAACTATGAAATGTTATACAGATTTAAGGCACTGGTCTGGTCCACTGGCGTATGATATTAGCTGTGTTGTTTTAAAATGTGATTCTCAAAGTGTCCTCATAGTACCAGGTAATGATTTTTTATAGATCCCTTCTGGCAATGATCAGTTTTTATTTTTTATTATCATAATTTACTTCTAATAAATTGGGTTACCATATCTGAAAAACAACAGCACACACAACACAATATTTTGCAAATTAAAGGAGATGCTATGGATTAGTCAGAGAAAAACAGTTTTGTTTGCCCATCAACGTGATTGAATAAATAGGAAAATCTTTGTATGAAAATGAAATTTTCTTTTTAAAAATATGGCACTATCTTATTTATTTAAAATAAAACAATGCCAGAATTTAGTTCAGAAATATTTAAAATAAAGTCTGCAAATTTAAAGACTATTTTTTTTAAAATATGTGATGAGAAAGCTCAGTGTTTTGAAATAGACTATTACTACTACAGGAGTACAAACATGCACTTCAGTTTGTAGGTGTAGAATAATTTCATTAATTTGATGAAAATTTTCAGATTCATTCACTAAAAGTTACAAAATTAAATTACTCATTTAATATTAACATTAATAACAAAATAGTGGTGCAGTCTTTTTTTTTTTAATTTCACTTTCAAAGTTTATATTAATTTTGAGTTTGACTTTTAAAAAAAAAAAATTGTTATATTATTTCATTTATTCCTACTGAGTGTTCTAGAGTCTTCTTAATCTTATTCCTTCATCAGAAAAAGATCTGGTTCTTTATTACATTTCAATCATCCTGTTACACTTACAGCAAGATGTAGGACTTTCTCAATTTTTGTTTTGAATGTGTGGCCATTCATTATTTATGGAAGTCCTTCCTGATCTGACCCATATCAGCTGCTAAAAATGTATGTATCGTATCATGCATTTTTTTAATACCTTGGACTTTGTAATTGTGTAATTGTGTAATGCTTGACAAAAGTCATTCATTTTGTTTAGAGCAATTTAGATTTTAATATTTATCCTAAAAATTAATTCTTCACTATGTTTCATTTAATATGGCAAATATTAAATGCATATAACTGTGTTCAAAGTCCTAGATGTTACACAGAAAATGAAAAAAATATAATAAATTAAACCAGTTGCACATATGACAAACATAAAATCTGAAATACATTTAGTTTTTAATAATTTTAATTTAAAATTTAATTTTAATAAATTACCACGAATGTTAGTTTTTTTTAAAAATCATCAAGAGTATTAAATTTGTCCCGGTTTTAACTCTATTATCCAATTATGATGATTAAAAAATATTTTTATGCTGCAAGTAAGTAGGCCTACTACTAGAATTTTTACAACGGAATCAGTTTTTGTAAGAGGTTGAATTTTATTTAAATTTTTTTTTTTTTTCTAATCAGAAATTTGGCCTGTGCATTCTGCTACATTTTTTTGCCCCTCAAAATTGATTGTACCAGTACATGTGCCATTAATTACTTTGAAACAACCTAAGTAGGTGTGTTTTTTGAATCGATAGTATTTAATTTCTTACCAATGTAACATATCAATCACTGTGCATATGTCATATTTATTATTATTAGTAATAAGCAGTAAACCTACATAGCAAGTTGTGAAGGGAACATTTATTATTGGTTAATTAATTAGGACATACTTAGATATGTATGATAAATACAGTCCAATATGTGGACAAGTGTCAAGTCAATGTTCCAGCGCATTATTATATGTAGAAGTAAGTGCACCCCAGTGGTTCCCAAATTCTGTCAAGTTTGTCTCTCTTTAAACAGACAGCTCAGAAGAAACACTATCGTAGTCCATCAATTAAAAAATAATGTTTCCACATTTACTTGTTACTCATCAGCAGATACAGACTTGAAGGCTTGCCAGGGCCCCACTGGCATATGATCGATTAGATACTTTGGACATTGTAGCTGCAGCATATAAATTTTAAATACCTCACAGTTTTCCCTTGATTTTCACCCCCTTTTACAAAGAATCCAGTTATGATAATTTGGGTTTTCAGGGAAGGGGTGTTCACCACTGATTCATATTTGGACCACTGACACCTTTACATTCTATAAAATGTTGAAACAAAAATTGATCCCCTTAAATTTATCTATCACTTATAATTGATTATTTCATGTAGGTGTGCAAGTGATACGCGACCAACACATTGTATATAATCTCTTCAATATTCCACGTCTTATGTTGGCTGCTAATGGTCTGTCTCCTCTATTGATGCTCACATATTACTGAACAATGAAACAAAAAAAAACTTTTCCATTTCTTACTTTTCTGCATGCTATACAACTAAATAAAACCATGACCGAGGGAAATATGGCTTTTCTGTGTTCTTCTTCATTTTATGTGCACAAAAAATTTATTGTGAAACACTGTAACCTTTTTTTAGTTTGTTTAAAGCCTGCGCATTTTCATTGCTAGAATTGGAATTTCTGCCTGTGCCCATAGGCTAAAGAGCATGTTTGCTCAGCTAACCTGAGTTAAAGGAAAGTGGAACAACTGGATCTCTGTTTTGGTTGGCTTCTGCGACTCATATTGGGGATCTACTTCCTTAGTGACAGAAAGACACACGCCAAAACTCCCAGTAGGGCTGCACATGAGTACAGCCAATTTTTCTTTTTTTTTTTAAATGGTTGCAATTTTCACTACTAGTATCCCAAATTTTAAATGACATGACAAAATAATAAAATCTGGTATGCAAAGTTGTGCAGCACTACTAGTTCTTTAAGTACAGAACCCTTATTTCATACCCATCAGCCAAGAACAATCTTTCAAGTACATTATTTTTTTTCTTTATTTTTTTTTCATCAGATCAAAATTAATTACTGATTCTGTGCACATGGACAGTTTTTTTCCACTTGACATCATGGAATATTTTTTAAACTGCATATTAAGGTTACTAATAACTTGGTAGCTACATGAATGACAAACCTTGGCTTAAATTCCTTCTTTAGACTTCAAAATGTGTATCTAATTTCAGCTCTGTACCTTCTCTGTGACTCCCAAACAAAACAGACAGAAAAATAAGAGGTCAACAGAAAGTAAATATTAAAAAAACCAGCAAATGATGGTTACCGGGTAATGAAGATTTATTCATAACATTTTCTTTTGGGTCAAAATAAGTTTAAAAAGGGACAAAATAGATGCAATGTCCCCTAAGCTCTCCCATGTACAAAAACTTTTACATCAAATGGACTAATAGGTCTTTCTAAGCATTTCTGACTGAAAGCATGATTGGTCCCCCTTGAAAATTTCAATTTTAAAAAATGATATTACATTGACAGACACAGGTGTTGCACATTTATTTAACATTTAGCACAGATCAAGCTTTGGTTTATGATTCAGGGCCATTTCCCATCCCAGCAATCAAATTTTAAGTTTATATTTACATGTGTCCAAATGACTGCAGCAATAAATGAATTGACCAACACATTTACTTTGGCACTGAAAAATGTGACCCAAATGAACCTGTGTTAAACACCAATTGTGACAGCTTGAACATTCCACAGATAATAGAGACACTGCAGTTTGAAATTTCCAAGTCTCAGGTGATTGATGTAATGCGTCTTTCCGATCCCAAATAGAAAGGTTAAAAATGAACGAAGCCGTGGCAGCACACAAAAAAAGGGTCTATTTACAAATTGTTTGTAAGGTTCAGAGTGTTATGATGTCAGCACGTGTCTGTTCCTCTCCATGAAAGCTGTCATGAACCCTACCAAGTGCTCCGTTTCCTCAACTGTGACTGCGTTGTACAAGGATACCCTGATACCACCAACTGACCTGGAAGATAGATAGCAGAGCACAATAGGAGCAAGTTCAACACTGAGAGTTCTATGACTTAAGCTGAAAATAATAATCTTTTCATTTTTAAATTATTTTTAAATAAAAGGTCAGTGTTGCTATGATTGATGAACATAGTATTGGCACAAAAAATATTTGTTCGCAAACTAAAAATGGGAATGGAATAAATGTTTCTTTTTTTTTATTTTTTATATTATATAACGAAAAAATTTTTTTTTTATTAAAATCCAAGATTTGCCAAAGACTAAATTTTGTTGATCCAAATGATGCTGATCTCATTTGAAGTTGGCTTACAAGAATTACCGGTATAGCTTTTATTTCTGAAATAAGTTCATATGAACTAAAAAGCCCTGGAGCAGGTGTAAGTTCTTAAAGTACAGTTCGGTGGAGTGTAGATTATCGGGGTGAGGGTACAAGGACTCCCCATTGTATGCACATTATACCATCTTCAAAAACACAGCACCATTCTATCATTTTTACACGCAATAAATTAGTGGAGTAAAAGGGCAGGAACTACCTGTGTCCTTTAAGCTGCAAATATCCAGTCTTGGTTGCCTCTTCCGAAAACTGCTTCTCTAATGTTTCATGGCCCTGTAGAGATCCTATCCTAATGGGTAAGTTCATTCTGCTACGACAGTCTTTGTCTAACGGACAGCTGAAAGAAATGAAAACATGTTAAGGGAAAAAATCCTTATGGGTATCTCCATTCTGATAGAACAGTCCAAGTCTAATGGAAAAACTTGAAAATTGTCGATTTTTTTTGGTCACAGTTAACTATCAAGGATTCAAAAGTCTCTTAAACTTAAGGCGTAAAGATTCTATTAATTTTTTAAAAAAATAAACCCTTCTCTGCCCATATGCATATGCATGCAAAGCTCACCCGTCCCTTTCTAGTGTGTACATAATATGTAGATTACCACCATTAAAGCGTAGAAATGGGGATGAAACAATTTAAAAACATAATACACTATACAAATTTATCATTTGTGTAAAAAATACAATATTTCCACTATAAACAACTTCAACATTGAAGTACTGACAGCAATTTCATAACTATAGCACTGAAGTCAACTTAAAATTTGGAAGAATGATGTCATAAAATTCAATGGTCAAAACTTACTGGTAAAAGCCTTCAGAGCTGTCAATAAGATTATAAACTAAATTGGATTTTTTAATAGAGTTTTCCTCCATCTTCTTGACGCCACCTTCCTCGTCAATCCAGTTGAAGACAAGGCCCATGATGTAGATACTGAAGAGAATACAAAAACAGATTACATTCTTCATAAACCAAGTTTATCGAAATCTCTTAAAAGTTTTTAAAAACTTCTATTAGATATTAACAGGAACAAAATTTTTGGGAATTTGCAAATTAGGAAACGATGACTGCAGTATTTTTTTCTTAACCTTTTCCCTACATCAAATATTAAATTGACTTTCAAGGTAATAGGATTATCAGTTCCAGAAAAGAAAATAACAACAAAAAAGTATGTCTCATATTGTTCTCAAGGGGGTCATTTCTTGAGATTGCTTGTAACTTTATTCTTTTTTTTTTAAAAGATAACCTACCAAATAAGCTTAAGCTTCAAATAGATTTACTGAGAATAGGTGAGGGAGGATCAAGGAAAATATCAGTACACAATGTTAAAATACTGAACAAAATATTTTTGTCCTGACACAAAAACGTTAAATTGAGATTACTCACCCATAAGTTGGTGGTGTATTGTACAGAGAGTTGTTGCCAGCTTGAATCTGGTAGTCAAATATCACAGGGCAGATTTTCATGGCAAGCCCGATCAGATCTTCACGAATGATGACTAGGGTGACTCCAGCACAGCCGATATTTTTCTGAGCACCAGCAAATATAAGGCCAAACTGAAATTTTGAATAGACAAATATTATTGATCTCTGTAAAAAAATTAATTAAAATAAATCCAACAATATCAAGGTATAAATTTCTTTCAGCACTATAAGACTGAATATAGTTGGGGAGTCTAGAATCTGTGAACAAAAACCCAGATATGTATATAATGTAGTTGGCTATTCAGCAGTCTGTCAACTGCTTCTGTTAAGAGTTGTCTGCATTATCAAGTTTCTACTCCGTCAAAGGTTCTGTATAAAAATGCTCCATGTGTCTTTTACATCTTTGGTGGTTTGTTTAACATTGACTATATGTCTGATTTCTTTGAAGTGAGGTTGATGACATTTTGAAAGCCATCTCCAATAAAAATGCCTGTACAGTTTCCGAAAAATGGTTTGGTTTCGCTACGCATGACTAGAATAGTAAAATGTTCCATTCTTTGAGTATCCTTGCCATCAATTTGAGCTAAAGAAACTTTTGAAAACTTTAAACCGATTTATATAACAGTCACTGGTTTTTCTTCTTGTTACACCAAAATAAAATAATTTTGTATATTATAATGCAAGCATTGACACAGAAATGTGTACAGACCTTGTTTATGTCTAAATGACGTGTTAACATATTGGAAGACATATCACAGACAATAGGAACACCGTTGATCTCTGGAATATACTGGAACTCGACTCCTGTAACAAAATTTAAGAGTTATTGATGTAGTTGTGTTGTTGTTTTTTTTCCTGATTATTTTATTTTTTTTAAAATTTGTTTACCGAACTTGCAGTTAAAAAGGCAGGTTCACTTTCTTACCATCAATTGTTTCATTAGCACAGTAATAGAAATATGAAGCCTCTGGGTTGAGTTTCCACGTGGATGGGTCTGGAATTGCTGTGAATAAATTTAGTGTAAAACGATTTATCTTTTGACATGCACTTTATTAAGGAAATTTCACAGCTAAAATTAGTAACAGAACATCCTTCCTTAGTTAAACACATGCAAAATATTATTGTTTTTAAGAGGAGTTATTCCACAAGACTTACATGTGTATTTCTTTGTTTTGGGCACCACGAGATTGACTGTTCCGTATTTCTCAGCCTCCTGGGCTGCCTTGGCTGACCAAGAGCCTGTCACTAGGTAATCAGCTGAGAGACCTGTGGATTTAATTATAAGATGGCTTTTGAAAAAGTTACATTTATTTTTTACTATCTCCAAGTCTGAAACACAATGCAGACGACAATGTAGAGGTAAGAGAAAGTTGCACTTTGCTTAACACTTCCAAGCGCTGATGCCTCTGTCACACATGGCATGCTAATCTTATACACAGGTATAATTAATAAGGATTAACAATTTCATGCAAAATTATGGGTTGTTTTTTTTAAAGTAACACCTACAAACCGGGTATGATTAGTAAATGAATGTGTCAGTTGATCCCTTTTCCCCTTTTGCTAGCCAATAATACTTTGTAATTACAATAAGATAACAAAACCAGTTTGATTGGAACCCCAACTGACACAAGGAATTGTGCAAACTTTGGAACCAACCTCGACTGGCACAAGGAATTGTGCCAACATTGGAACCAACCCCAACTGACACAAGGAATTGTGCCAACTTTGGAACCAACCCCAACTGACACAAGGAATTGTGCCAACTTTGGAACCAAAGTTCTTAAACAAGAACAAGTTTTTTTTTAAACAGATTTTTACAACTTTTTTAGGATGCAAACAACTACAACATTCAACTGTCAGACTGGCTGCAGCATACTTAAGATTCAAAAGATTATGTCACTTACTGGGTTTCAAAGGCAAAAGATTAAGTGGAACAGCTGAGAACTGACCAGTGCCTCCACCTTGAAGAAATAGAATTTTGTAGTTCTGTGGTATGGCTCTGAAGAAGATAACAGATGAATTAGTTAAACACTGCCCAAATGCTGGATTACTCTTAAAATTGTGAACCACGGGGAACTAGACAATGGTTGCAGAATTTTTCTTTTTAAATTTCCAATCTCAAAACTATCAACTAGAGTGTAAAACAAAGAAAAAAGCTATGACCATCGCTTAAATTCTGGAAATAGTCACTCACAATAAATCCCTGAGTTTATGTTCTGCAGAGTTGAGTATTTTGCTGAATTCTGATGATCTGTGGCTCATTTCTGAAAAATGAAATCAGAAGTGATTATCTTAAAATATCAAACATAAGAATAGCCGTTACAAAGACCATAATTCTACCAGCCAGCTAAAATAAGTATTTTGGAATGATAAGTGCATCAAATTGTTCTCAGCCTGATATAAATAATCCCAAGCAATACCGCTGGCCATTGTTAGACTGTGCCCCCTCCCCTTTCCAGAAAGAAAAAAAACACAAGTATCATTGTAATGTTTTATTGGCTAGTTAGTGACAAAGACGTCATTCTGAAATGTATTATTGCCAGCCCTTGCACAGCTGTGCATGTTAGACAAGAGTCATAAAATCAACTGAACAAGGGGCCCCAGCAGAATATTTTTAACGTGCGTATTTTTTTATAACAAGAGGGAAATGCAAAATGGGAAAACTGCATGTAGGAGATATAGCACATATAACTATCACAATGATTTCAACAAATACGGCAAAGGAGCCTCATAACACAACTGTATTGAGATATTAAGACGTTGCCGACCTACCCATAACACTGACACCTGTGTCCTGGTGGTCCAGCATTTCTTTCTGTGCATGGGCCAGCACCTGTTGGAAAAAAAAAAAAGAGGAAAAAAAAAAGATGGAAATCATTTGAAATATCGGCTTTGCTAATTTTTGTCAACTTTGGCTAGACTACATCAGACACATTGGACAGACTTTAGGATTCGAAGATAGCAAAATAATTTACTTTTAAAATGAGCATCATCTGCTTCGTTAAGATATGCAATAACTGCTGCAGTAAAACATTCTTGCAGATAGAAGCGTTCTTTTACTTTAGAGAAGGGCATTTTTTAAAAAATTGTAGAGACATGAATGTTAAAAAAATTTTTCACGCACACACACCCCTACCAAATTAGGACCCAAAAAACTAATTTCTCTTGATTGTTATTTACTATTTTTTTTCAAACTGAGTAAAGTGAAAGTAAATTTAAAATTTGTCTTAATATTTTTTAATGTAAGGATTGTCAAATAATGTTCCCCAAAATTTGGGATGAAAATAGTCAATTACTGTTATCCATGACACTCCCCCCCCCCCCCCCCCCAAGCTAATAAAACAAGTTTCAAATAATTCTAAAAACATCGCATTAAAGATGTTAAGAAATGTTTATACAAAAACAAGAGACTCATCACTGATGTATTACAAAAGCCTACATTACAAAACCCTGCAGATACTGAAACTGGGTCAAGTTCAGCGCAGTTCATAAAAGTCAAGTTCACTAGACTTAAGTGAATAATTATAGCTTATCAGACAGAGACAAGTTCAAATCTCAGCCCTATCTCTGAACCAACAGCCCCAATGGCTTGATGCTATTCTCAGGATCTGATAACACTGTTGGCCTGCTCTGTTAGAAGGAACCCTATTTGGACAACTTGGGGATAAGCCTGAGTACTGATTTTATTAACACAATTTTACTCCTCCCTTCACCTCTTGCTTTCACTTGAAGTCATAAGGTTGATAATGCTGTACAGCAGGTGCCTACAAAGGAAAAAAAAAAAAAAGGGGNCTTTAATGGTGGTGGGGAGATTTATGTTATGAGGAATAAGAAGTCTTTGTTATCTGGCTTCAGCTGGGACTTGAACTCTACCCCTTTCATAGAGAAGTAGAGAACAACAGCGCACACACACCCACCCTGCTTCAACAAATTTTAAAAATTGAAACCAAAAAAAAAAAAAAACTAGACTATAGGCCTACTAAAATTCATTTTTTGAATAATCACAAGATATAACAATTTTAATTTGCTGAAAATTGCAAAATTTACCAAAGTCCAAGGTCAGATTGGGGGTGGGGGTGTTATACCACTCAGGGTGGGATAGAGGCCCCTGAAGTACAGGCAGGTTTTTTGTTTAACTGTTTCTTTGTTAGAAATTATATCAAAGAAAGGGAGTGGAGCATACAAGGAAAAAAATTTGAAAAGTATGCCTGGCTTTGAAAGGGTAGTTAAATTTTTTTATTTCAATCTATGCAAAGACTAACAGAACAGCTGCATCCAACACAAGTGACAAATCATAAAACAGAAGTTAACAGGGGAAAATAATGGGAATCCAACACAACAGTTAACTCCAATCAATAATCTTAGATTTTTTGTGTGAACATCTGTCATCAGCACATCCATTTAACATTGAATGTGCCCTACAGCCTCGAGTGTGTGTAGCCTTCATGATTTATAGGGCAATAATGCAAGGAAAAGTGCCCTGCAACTATATATATATATATATATATATATATATATATATATGTGTGTGTGTTCTGCATTAATCAGAGCTATTCATACAATCCTCTACATTTCAGTACACAATTGCCAATAAACATGGGTGTGTACAAGCTACCAGAGTAAATTACTCTGAATTTATAATTATATTAGTATTACGTCAGATTAATCAATTTTTGGCAAAATGCTAAGAACGAAATATCTCAAAAGACAATATACAATAGCTATGATCAGAAAAAGAAGGCTTCGGCCTGACAAAAAAAAACAAAAAAAAAAACAACTATTCAGCCCGATACATTTAGGCCTATTAATATTCAGGACAGCAGCCAAATACGTCACCAACCAAAGTCACGTATTCAGAATTCAGACGGTTAATGAGCCAGCTTAGGCCAGATCACCACAGTTCGTGTCGCTTGCAATCTATACAATTCAAGGTGAGGGGCGCAGTGTCAGTGTGTGTGACTGTGGTCCCACATAGATTAACATGCCGTCGGTTATTGTCCAACTGACCTGATCTTTAAAGACCCAGGAACAGCGATTAGTGCGGATGTTGATGTTCTGGTCATGTGTTTAGTTGCGGCGGAAAAACAACAGCCTAATAATGTGGGGTGGGGGGATGGGGGGAAAAGAGTTTCATTGCGCCTTATTTTTAAGTTAAACAAAGGCAGTTAAAAAAATATTAAAAGTCTTTAAAGAAATTTAGGAGTATGTAGTCTGTTGGGGATAGGTCTTCACTTTTTTCCACCCTGACCCTATTTTTAAAAGTAAAAGTATTAGAAGTTAAAATTTAAAAAAACACATTATATTAGTTTATTTAGGCTTTGCCTAGTTATGGTTGTTATAAAGTTATCTTAGATCAGAAATTCTAGTAAAGTATGGACATCCAGGATAGTTAATTGATATGCACTAAGCTGTTGTACCTTAGCGTTCTAGCTTCCTATCTTGTATTAGTGTGTACAGTGTATATCCCATAAAAATACAAAATAAAAGTGATAGAAATAGAAGTTTTTAAAGTAGGTCAGTGGGGCAAAGGTCAAACGGCTGACTAGCCTTTGTCACGCGTGACATGTGGAAATTTCACCTGGAATGCAACAGTAACTCCGACACACTCAAAGGCAAACAACAAAGAATGCCTTGAGCACATCTTGGGAGTATACAGGAAATAGTTGGTTTCAAACGTATATCACTTATACTTATAGTAACCACATAGAAAGATGAACAGTCGATTTTTCTATGTCTATATTTTCACACCACAAATTATGCTTGATTTATTAATTTATACTATGACTATTCTATTATAAATAATTATATACCTATAACTATATATCATTGGATACCGATAGGCGCTAGAATAGAATTAATTATACTTAGACTTTTAGGACTTCAGGTACTATACTGTTGGGATGTCCTGCGGAAATTTATGTCCATGAAATATGAAATAATACTCAATATTGATAGGCCTATACCGAACTGATCAACCCATGTCAAAAATGAAATTATTATAAAGAGTTACAAAACATGTGACCACATTTATTTTATTATTTTTGGATTGAGGTCCAGGTGGGGGAACTAAAATTTACAATTATTTAAGTTTCATTGGTCCATCACAAACTTATGCCAGTTATATTTATATAGGCCTATATATATATATAGGCCTATTAGTATTAGTATCAACTAAGTAAATACTACAGAAATTGTTCACAGCTCTGAACCTGATGTACATGGTTTGCTTAAGAGTAGGCCTATCTGACTGGGGATCAGGACAGAGAGAGAAGGGGGGTATGCTGTAGGACTACTCCTCACTATTATCGTGTTTAACACAATACAATCTTCTGAGGGTGGCGAATCTCATTGGGTCAATAGTCAATGGTTTCATTAAAGTTCAAAGATCTGCCATTATTTAAGAATACAGACTAAGTTGTTTTGGGTTGAAACCATTCTTAGACTTATCAACAAAGCACATAAACTATCTATGTAATGATAAATGAAATTATTACAGCACATGTTCACACCTCATAAGTCATCATAATAATAATAATAAGTTTAAATAAGGCTAGGGAATGATGGACCCTTAAAATATCAAGCTGACTAAGTTCACTGAGGTCAAAGTCAAATTCATGATCCACTCATCTTCAACAAATTTTAAAATGACTATAAATATAAATATTTGGAAAACCGCAACCAGAACATCGTACTTCAAAGAGAAAAATTCCAATTGCATCAGCCTGCTGAACTAGTAGAGTAGTAGTAGCAGTATCTACGTCGATACCAGTCAGGTCAGTCAATAAGGCTGAGAAGGTCTAATGTCGCGTGGCGTGTGTAGCCTAAACTATGGACTGTAGCCAGTGAGCCCTGACCAGTAGTGTTCTAGTGGGTTACTGTTGGCTATTAGTTACTAGTGAAGTGTGTGCATTAGACTAGTCATTTTATTTTAGTCCTATTTAAATTTAATACTAATAAAAAGAAAAAAAACTAATGCCAATCCAATACCATTTATCATTTAATTTATATTATTTAAAACTTACTGATGCAGGCAGCTTAGCTGGTCCAGCTGAAAAATTGATAACAAATTTTCCTTTAGCTTCATCTCTAATACTAGTGTCACTCATTTTTTATTTCTAATGCTATTAGGTTAGCAGACAAGATATATTTCTAGGTTGGAGAGACTGAATTATGCACTTGCATCACAATTTATACTCCACGTCCGTTACGCTTCGGATATTGTTTACATCGCCCCATTGGCTGGCCTTGAACCATAACCTCATATTTCATTGGTCGTCAAAATCAAGGCAATCATATATCACAAACACGTGATCGTAACATGCTCGTCTCCTTGAAGATTATATTAAATTTAACATCTATAATGTTTGGCTCAAAATAAATATATTATTAGCCTAGGATCATCTTTTCAATTCGATCATGACAGTATAAAAATGATAAACATAATAATTTCAGTGACCATGGGAAGATTCGTGAAAACGCATGCTCGCAGTTGCGCTATACGCTATATACCTACACAAGTTATGTAAATGTGTGGGGTCAAAATGCAGATTATGAATGAAAATTGACACTACGTTGTGACCAAGGCTACAACACACTTTTTTAAAAAGAAAATTACTGTATTTCTATTGCTAGTAACGCGCAATTAGGGTTTCACATTTCTTGGGGTTTTGCTTTGCCAGAGAAAAATAAGGAATTAAGTTTAATAAATTTAATTAAATATTATAAACCCATTTAAACTTTAAAAAATATTGATTTTTATAGTTGTTTCATCGTTATTGTCTATTAAAGTATGAATTAATTATAAAAATGTTAATATTAATTGAGAGGTCAATCATTTTCTACTAGTTGCTTTTTAATCTCTTGATGTTGTTTGTTTTTGTTTTAAATAAGGGAGACAATCAGGAATTAGTGACTCCTCACTCCATGTTAAATATTCTCCCTTTACTTTATTTCAGCTCTAAAACGCCTTAAAGCTATGGAAAAGTTCTGAAATATAGGAAATGTATTTGAGTTTTAAAAAAGGTGAGGTTTTGAAGGGGGTTAGGTGTGTGTGTATAATGGTATTGCAAGGATTGCACCAATTAATCAGCAGTAATCAGTCTTGCCATTTTACATATTTACCTTTCCTCCCCATATTTACTGATTATGATTGTGGTCTCTTTCTCTGACGTCTCAGTGCTTACACATGGAGTTTTTTCATTTTTTTGAGCTTTTTCTATAAGAGGTTGTGGTAATAAACCTGATTGTCTAGTTGCACCACTAACTGAATGCTAGGTGGTGCAACAAGATTGTGAAACACTAGTGTAGATGGTGGGGGTTGGACACTTAAAAACATACTTTTAAAAATGTTAAGCTCCATTTGAATAAGGCTGGGAACCACTGGCCTGATGTATATTATATGAAAGAGAGTACATTATGAGACGTAAGAATATTTCAAATGATACACTTGTTCTATATGAGCTGTAATCATTCGCCCACAGGTTTGATGAATCGAAATGATGATTCAGGACCTGTCAATAGCAACCACACCTTGGGGATACCGTCCATTCTCCAGTGAGCTTCTTTCTCATTGAAGTCAAACCACACGGTTTCAACTTTGGACAGGATATGGTAAGTTCACTTTTACCATTGCTATGAAATGAACGAGGGGTGTATGTCCTAGCTATTCTAAGTTTGCTAGAAGCATTATGCTCATTATTGTACCTAGCAAACCAAAATTTCTAATTTGACTGATATGAATGAAGACATCCAAAAAGATTATTTCATTATTAATTAACAAGAGGTAGAAGTTCTGCATGGATTTCTAAGCTCAGATGATAAAGCAGACTAAATTAGAATCTCTTGATGGTCCTATGGTTGTAGATAAATGTTGTCAAATGAGAATTAGTTCAGCTTACTAATTGCATGTTATGAACTTGAAGTGATGTTTAACCTAGATGCTATAAATGAATCTATAATATAAAACTTTAATTTGTAATATTACCTGCTAATTCCCATTTATTTAGCAATGTGGGGTGTTTGCAGCAAACTTAGAGGTTAGGCAAGACTGTACTATTAATGTTGATAGAAGTATGACTAAAATGAAATAATACCACACTAGAACAGCAGATATTCTTTTATCTATTAAAGATTTTTTTTTCAGCTATTAAATTCTATAATATTAAGTTTGTATTTGATTCAATGTATGTAATTCTATTATTATTGATAGTATCACATTTCTTTAATCATCAGAGGGTGTACTGTTACATTAAGATAATGGCAAGAAAATAGTCAATGGTGCCAAAGCAAGACCACAAGAATACACAAATTTGAAGATGTAACTTCAAGAGGAAAAGCACAGGTGCAATATTCAAATTGAAGTAATTCAACAATAAAAATGAACTAAGATACTAAGAATAATTCCTGGTAGTTTTATTATTTACCGGAATAAATGAAGAACCGTATGAACGTGAATGCTCTTTATTTTAGGGGAGAAAAAAACTTGAATTCTCCACTCATAAATACTCTGGGTTTAAGAAATACCATGAAATATTTTTATATTTTCATTTAGAAATGTAAGTTCAATTGGTGATGTCTGTTGGATAAAACTGAAGGATGTGTTTAAAAAATGTTGAGTTAAAAAGAAATAATTATTTTAAATCTTATTTAGTTTATTATCCAAGTCTTTTAGTAGCATTAAGTGTACAGAGTGGAAACAAAATGTTCATTGCCTTTCTCAGAAAGATCCACAGCATTTTTTTTATTTCACTCGATTCTCCGTAGAAACTTGCATGATAATTTTAATCAGATTTAAAAATTATACACTTCTTGATAAAACCAAGCCATGAACTGTCCATCACAAAAAGAATCCATGACATTAGCTACTTGTCAAAAAAAAAAAAATAGTAAAAAACTTTTTGACCAAGAACAATCTCAAGATCTTGACAAGAAAATTTACAATGCATCGCAGTTAAGATTTTTTTTTTTAAATGGCCTCCTTCATTAAAAACAAAGTTTTATACAATGTAACATGACATCTACCAGTTTATGTAAGCAACATGACATCTATAAGTAACAGATCTATGTTTATAATCTATATGTCTATCACATGGGGCTTTCACATTGAGTCTCAACACAATGCATTGCAAACTTACTTTAAGGATGTCTCAGTTAAAGATGAGAGGAATCTCTGTGGTACCCATTCATGAATGGATTTATCTCTGTGGTACCCAATCGTGGATGGATCTTAGTGGTGTGAATTAGCCTATCACTATTACCTAAAAATTTAACTCGTACACATATAAACATTAAAATTAAAGTTCAAACTAAAAAAATAATAGTGGTCAAGTAATTGAAAACTCAAAAGTATTCCATTTCCGATGAAAGTGTTAATTAGATTTTTTATTACAAAACTTTGTATTCAAAAGATTTCTAGTTCTTAATAAAGACAACCAAATTCTTTAAATTAGAAAGACGACAGCAATTAGTTTCCAAACGGTTGAGCACAATAAAGAACGGCAACAAGTTAATACAATTCTTGACCAAGGTGGCATGAATTAAATATCTTGAGTGTATAAAAATGAAATTATATTTAAGAGGAAGTGATAACTGTCATCTTAAAAGCAATCGTTTTATTCCAGTTTCTTTCCTTGGACCATAAATTGCAAAAGTCAAAAAAAAAAAAAAAAAGGAAAAAAAACAACACACACACAGTTTATTTTAAATATATAGATAGTTCATCAGTCAAATTTGACAATGACCATCATAATCATCACATATGCCTCTTAAAAATGAAATTATATTTAAGAGGAAGTGATAACTGTCATTTTAAAAGCAATCGTTTTATTCCAGTTTCTTTCCTTGGACCATAAATTGCAAAAGACAAAAAAAAAAAAAAAAAAGGAAAAAAAACAACACACACACAGTTTATTTTAAATATATAGATAGTTCATCAGTCAAATTTGACAATGACCATCATAATCATCACATATGCCTCTAAATTAGTTTTTGAAGATATTTAGGTGCAGAGCCTTCTATACAGCTGTATCCCAGGGACAGAATTTTGTGGTCAATGCATTCACTCACAGGAAGCCAGTGGAGATTTTTAAGAACTGGGTTGATGTAGACAAGACTTCTTTTCTTTGTGTTGTTATTTAACATATAAATGTCGCTATTTAAATCATCAACTTGTCAGCTAGAAATACAGTAATTCATTTCAAATATGCAGATAGGGTAAATTATTCAAGCTTTTTGCACCATCAGGTCCAGGTAATTCATTTCATTATTCAATCTTCATGCACCGACAGGTTGCGGTAATAAAAAATGTAAATATTATTAGTTTTCCTAAAATATCTGATAGATATGCCCATGTTCCTTGTGCATTCAACAGCTAAATAATATACTAATACTAAATCAGCATATTCATGTTGCTCAGAATTGCTGAAGAAAATTAAGTATTTGAAAAGAGCTTATTTTCATTATTTAAATTGTTCTCAAAACTGTTTTTTCTGTCGTTTTTGCACATAGGCATAAAATCTCAGTTAATATAAAATGCTAAGTGTCATAAGATTTGGTGTTTATCTTCCTAATAAAATTGTGTACCTAATCAACTATTTTTTTTTTTGCTGGCATCTGTCCGTCATAATGTGACGATGGAGTGGGCCCGGAGGACGAAATCCACATGGCCTGGGATTATTCTTCAAGGATTATAAGCTGGTTCACAACAGCAAATCGCCTCTCTCCACGCCGCTGGATAACCCAAGGGAACATCATTGGATGATACAGCTTGGCACCAGTGGCGTCGCAGGAGTTGCCGGAATGTTTCATTGTATCAATGTTATCCGCCTTTCGGGACTCCACCTCCGGGTTTTGATTTCCGAGTTTCCGTCTCTTAGATGAGTTGCCATCCAAGGTTAACGAGTCCCATCTACCCGGGGTACTGGTGGTGTTTTTGCTAGACTGTGGCTCTAGCTGGCCACCCAGTACCCACCTAATCCGCTATCGAAAGATAAATTTGGTCAAGAACTTTTTTAAAAACTAAATTTTCAAATTTCCCATGATGATACATTTGGAGCATTTTATGAAGAGGCAAACTTGATTTTTTTTTTTTTTAAACATTTGAGAAATTTAAGGTTAAAGACCCAAAGATTAAGAAAACACATCTCTGTCTGAGATACTGACCTCTACTTGGTTGTGACACATGAGTGAAGTTGTATAGTGGAGTGAAAAAAAAGTATGATTCCACAAGCCTAGTTTAAAGTGGAATCATATCTAAGCAAATCAAATAATTCCAGAAATGCAAATTTAGTCCTCTCATTTAAACACAGTCCTAAAAACTATAACAAATGACACATTTCAAAGTGATGTAGAAAATGTCAAAAAGTAGTATTACTAGTATCGTATGTTTCTTTATTTTTAATCTTTTTAAATCTCAAACAACCTTTTAATGGGGTTAATTTCAGTGCTTTCATTATTTAGCGTCTCAAATCCCTTACACAATAAAAATCATTACTTTCTGTTCAACATCTTCCATAGCTGAATTTTTAAAAAATTATTGTACATTGTTGGACACACCATTCTTTGCAATAATACAGTCTGATGTGATACCTTTTATAGATAAGGTAAAAAAGAAGCATGAAAGAAAAGGACTGTGGAGTAATTTTTATTTACAACATGAATACAAATATAGCAGCATTCCATTCAAGTCAAACAGCTGACATAATCATACAATGATATATAAAGGGTTCTCTTAAATACTCACATTTCTTAGCTGCATTTGTTTATTTAATCAATTAAAGTGAAGTGATCAGCACCAAAAAAATTGAAAATTTTGCCATGACATTGAATCCTTATTAGAATTATCAATTTTTACAAGAAGAACATTCTGTAATTAAAATTTGGACCTCACAGATATTTAAAAATAAGCCCCTACTCTTTTAGAGAATACTATCCTACCTTTAACATGAACCTCTGCCCCAATAGTAAATTTGGCTCCTCACTATGACCCTTTTTATGCAAAATTTTTGGTGGACCTCTACTTGAAAAAAAATATTTCAAAATCATTGTGTGCATAACTAATAAACATATCTAATAATTAAACATCTTCTCAATTTTAAAATATTGAATTGAATTTCTATTCCCTCCTCACTTGGCCTTGACCCCCCAACTCACAATCACCACCATGTCTGATGAAATATAATTTAAAAGCTTATCTGTATTGTGGGAATGATTGCAATTGTTTTCCCAACACCTCTTGACCTTGGAATAGAATATTCTAATATTATTTTTTTTGGCTTTGTTTATATGTGTACCAGTTAAATTCTTTATCAGAGTAATAGTGACAGGCTAATTCATACCACTAAGATCCATCCATTATTTCTCAAGCATTATGAAATTCCTATCATTTTATCACAAATCTGCTATTAGCTTAGCAAATTATCCACATGGAAAACCTTTAAAGTAAAAATAAACAAAAGCTCAGCAAAAAAACACTTAACTGTTAGGAAATGTTATGTCAAAGATTTATACATAAACTGCATACAACAAATGTTTCATAACAACATAGCCATTGATGATGTTAAGACCTTACAATGGTTCATTTAAAAAAAATGGTTACAAAATGGTGTCTGATGTCTACAAACATGACTTTCCTGCCTCTATCCTCCAACTTCATCAGCAAAACATTTATCATTCTCGTTTTTAGTTTGGTCTGTCAAGTATACACATGTAATTACATGATGCCTCAATAATTAACACATATGACCAAAATATCTACCATTCCCACGCCACACTGCTTCTTATGTTTTCATCATAGCTCCCTCTATGTCTGCAGAGTTAGCCCCTATGCTTCTAATACTTGTCTCACCTCTCCAAGCCGGAAACACAGTGAAGCAACCTCGTGACATAGTAGACCATGCCATAGCAACAGCAGTAAACCCAGATGTTTCTATCATTAACACGTCAACAAGGTTTCCTTCATTTAGCATCTGTATGTGAGGAAATGAATGACATCATTAAGGCCTGACTGAGTTGAATGACAAAAGACCAGAAGGATCATGTGCCCTTACTTCCGAGGTGAGGGAAAATAACATTTATTCCTGCCCGTTACGCTCAGGGGATTCTGAACAAGACGAGGAAGGGGAATGTGCTGTAAGCCCAGACCTCTCAAGAGTTGCAGCCGGGGCAGGGTATTATCCAATCACAGATATCCAGAGGTGTTCCATTTCATTACTTTCCAGGGGGGTTCTCTGTGTAGTCCTGCAGCACCCCATCCAAATGGTCATTGTGTTTCTTAAAGCTCCTGGGCTTCTGCTTGCCTTTCTTCCGCCTCGGCATGGATGACTGGTGACGGATGAGAGAATTGCAAGAATTTATATTACCAAAGCTAAACTTTCCTATCTAAGCTGTTAATTATGTAAGAAAAGATGACTGAACATACTAAAATTGACTTGCATTAGACCAACATAAGTGTGGTAATGTTAGAATGTCTTATTTGGATTTTTTATTAATGATTTCAATGAACTGATAAGCATGTAAATCCCATAATTACAATCCTTTATAGAGAGGAGACTATTTAAATTCTATATGGACATGGGTCATCTGCAAATGCCCATTGTATTGTTTTTGTTTTTTTACAAGCTAATTGATAACACATTTCTGGCAACATGGTAACTAATTGTCTTTAAAAATTCATCTTCCATTAAAGGACAGTCCTCACAGATATGAAATGTATCTACAACTAACATAGTGTATTAGATATGTGCTTGTTATGAATTTATCCATAATTGTGACCTCTTGTTTCTTTTCTTTTTTTTTACATTGATTAAAAGAATCCAACAAAATTTATAGTGAAATTTTTTAAAAACTATTATTATTGACCTGTTCTGTTTTTTATTTTGAATGACCTACTGGAATGTTGATAATATCAAATGATTTTATCAGGTTTTTCTTATCGTTCAGACTAAGAAAGAAAATACCATAGTGAGGCCTTCGAATATTCTTGCCATATCCACCAAACCTCCATTACCGCACAACGGACCAGGAATTAACACGAGGTAAATGTTAGCATTTACAGAAGCGTGTGGGTTTCAGACAATCGGTGGGTTGCTGGAGACTGATCGCACAACTTACCACTTTCTTGTAGCCTGAGGCCTCCATTGATGTGATGCCCTGTTTGCTGAGGTACTCTTCAACCTTCTGGTCATCCAGACCCTCCACAGCTACACTCCTCCACAGTTTCTGAAATTCTAGACATTTGAGACAAAGTCAGTCAATGTAAATATTCCCTTTTTGGATCAATTATTTTCAACAAGTTTTGTAAAAATAATTTTTTTTGCCATCACTATTTAAGGCTCACATGCCATAACTATTTAAGGCTCCCATGCCATCACTAATGGAGTCTCACAATAAATTATTAAACAAAAAAAATATGTAAATGAAAGATGTAGCTTAATATTAAATTCACATATGCTTACAAGGCTAATTGATTATTCCATTTTTATTTTTAAAATCATTTAAACATAAATAAATAATCACAGAGTAGTCTAAGTCATGTTCTTCAATATATTTTCAAGCTGAAGCATAAAATATGTTAGGCAAACTGTATCTGACAATCACAAAAGTTATCTCATTATTTGAGCTAAGGATATGAGTGAATGAATTCTCATTGATTTAAGAAAGAGCTATTTAATTGGCTTCAACAAAAAAAAAATAAAAAGGGGATTGCACCATCAACATTATTTTCCCCTTTTAAAACTTACTTTCTTCTAAAAGCAATTATCGTAAGTGTAAAAGAGTCAGGCGGTTTAAAGAGCTAGACTTTTAGCTTGAGGACTATCACTGTCTTTTTTCTCATGGACAAGGAGAACAATACATTTGCCAGATTGACAGCCAGAAGGATAACACAATAACACAATATCACTTCAGGACCATAACTCATTTAAGTCATATTACTAATGCCTTGTGTTTTTATTCTGAAAAAAAAATTAATTTTACACACAAGTTACAAATAACCCACATCCACTTTAAACCCACAGTAACAATCATTGCAGTGGTCAAAAGTACATTATACACATCTGAACAATTACCTTCATCCACTTTAAACCTGCAGTAACGATCGTTGTAGAACAAAACCTCTTTCTTGTCCTGTGGTCGCTTCACTGAAATGATATGGTCTTTAAGTTTCTGAAAAAAATAAAATTTATGACAGGCAACGTTATTAGTACCGGTATGTCTTTTTATGAATAGTACTTATGGTTCTATTTTTAGTGCATTGAATAAAAGCCTCATTTCCCATATGGTCTTTATAACAAAATCTGTTATTGCTTTTATGCTATAATAAGTGACTGAATTTAGACTCCAATGTGACTTTTAATTTCTTAATAAACTTTGTTTGCTTTTATTCCTTATTTATTAGAGAAATCTGAAGCAAAAATTTATGACGAGAAGGAAAAACTCCAAGTACTGTACTTAAAACTATAACTATAATACAAATTGTTTCTTTTAATTTACATCACTTTCTATTGTTATGAAAAGCATGAACGAAAAGACTGAAATATTTCTTGACACCGGAACAAAAATGTGAAGAATAACAATTATTTAGAGGACAAAACAATTTGTGATGCTTTGCTTGACTTGAATATTTAAAATATATAACGTGAAAAAAAAAAAATGAAAGAAAATCTTACTATCCAACAGGGAACACTTTAATTTCTTATGGAACAAAATAGATATAAGAATCGTACCATTTATAAAAAAGTCTCTGTCAAATTCGATCAGCCATGACCACATCCTAAATAAAATAAAAATCAACTTACCATTTCATTCATTCAAGATATTACCCACCTCTAAGACTTTTTGCATATTTGGCAAGCTCTCTTCAATGTCATCAATGAGGATGCCCCCTCTGCCGTGTAAATCATAGGACTTTAACAGTTTGATCAAACTCTTCTTGTCATGGATGTCAAACTTGGGCTTAAAACAGAACTTGTTGACACCGTCCTCATTCACAACTATGATTTTCGGATTGTTTATGAGAGACTGTGGATGATGCATCATACAAAATCATTAGATAGTGTTTATCAGAGACTGTGAGATGTATCATATGACATGAATATAATTGTTTATCAGAGACTGTGAGATGAATCACATAACATGAATAGAAATGTTTATCTGAGACCGTGGTATGTAAAATACTTCAAGTTTACTATGTGAATAAGAATAAAATTTATCATTTAAGAGACCTAAATTCATTCATTATAATTAAAATCAGAACTTAAAATAAATAAAGGTGTTATTATTTCTACTCACTTCTATTTTTTTTTTTTAAATATAAAGGTTTTTTTAAAAATAAGGGTTCAAATTACAATTTTCTGTTAACACCATTTACATTAATTTCTGTATAATCGGCAATATAATTTTTTCACTACTGGTATAAGGTCTCAACAATACTCTTCCAAAGTGTTTGTTATAATGGACTAGCGGACGGGACCGTCCTAATAGCCAACTAGGGCAAACAGCGCGCATGCGCAGAGACACTGTAGTCAAAGTGTGTGTTATTGAACAGTGTGTTCCGGACGCAAGCAAAAAGTCAACATTATTGAGAACTTGTATTTATGTATAGTTATGTTAATGTTTATTGTTGGAAATAAAAACATAGAAAACATAACAGTGTTCCTAAAGGTTTTTATCACAGAACTTAACTTATTTAAGGACATTGTATGTAAACAACTTTCAGCTGCATACTTGTATACTCTTGATATTTATAAAGTGCAGAAAGCTAGAATAAACATTGTAAAAAACGAGAGCAGTCAAAAAGTACCTCAGTGGCAAGCCAGTGCCTCATCTTGCTTGTAATATCCAACTGGTTTGTCTCATCCAATATCTCCTCCAGTACCAAGGGGTCGTTGATCCCTGACTGATGCCTGGACTAAAAAAGACCAGTCAAATAAAAGGTTAACGCAGAATTAATGCACCCGACCAGTGTGGATCTAAGCGTTTCTTAAAGTGGGTTTATGCAGGTGACAGCTGGGGGGCTATGGAGCAGTTTTGTAAGAAATTGTATGAAATTTAATTGATTACTACAGAAGTAAATGTTGACATAGTCAGAAATGTATGAATTACTGGTTGCCAGAGGTATCAAATTGGACAAAAAACAGACCCTAAAATGACAATTTTGCAACATTACGTCATTAATATCATAGATTCATTATCATAACAGTGGAGGATTTATGAGACCAAAGTTGCTTTTGTTTATATTTATGACTATGTCACATCCAAACTACATTTGGGATGATAAATATAATTATCTAAGACAAGTTATGAATTTGGAAAAAGTGATTATAATGAAATAAAACAACATTAAATATATCAATTTTTTAAAAAAATAAATGAAATTTAAAAAAGTAAATTTTATTTAGAGTACATTAGGTATTTCCTCCCTGACAAGTAAATCCCTGTAAAGTGTCAATGTGATTTGCATGGTTTTCTAACAGAATGGCAGGTTATTACGACTAATATATCAGAATATGCTGTACATTTTTTAAAACTGCTTGTTTTTTCATAGTTGTTAAAAAAGTTTCTTTTAAAGTCAAATAATATTTTTCCACAACGTTTACTAATCCTTTTGTGTATACATTTTTCATCTTTATCTGCCTCAGACACATAATAACACTCTTCAAAAAAATATTAAAAAACATATGCGGCATAAATTTGTGAGTTGTTTTTTCCCCCAGTATAATTCAGTGTATATTTCTTATTTGATATGATGAAATCCTTTATCCCTTCTTTTGTTAATTATCAGATGTTTTGTGTTTTATAAATGAACTGGAATATTTTTGTTAAAGCTTGTCATGCACCCCAACTTGATGGCACATTCTTTGTTGACACAGCGATAGTGGGGAAAGCCACAAGATTGTGAGCATTAAAATCAAGAGAATGCAGAATAATATTTCACTAAGAATTCCGACCAGGACTAACAATAGAGCCAGAAGGTGACAATCATACCTTCATGTATTTGACAATCTTGGCCAGAATACCAAATTTATACTGAGAGCTTCCCTGAGACATTTTGTAGTCGACAGTGTCTGAAATTAACAAGGAAATTATTTGCTGTAAGCCATTTTATTTTACATCAAATCGCTTGAATGAGCCGTACAAAGTTTATTAATGGTAATCTTTTTCTTGTAAGTCTTAAAAAATCAAAACTTAACATATTCATTAAGTAGCATTACCTTAAAAATGTAATAATTCCATTTCTTTTTTTTGTGTTTTATATAAAGATGAAGTTCATTTACCCTAAATGTAAACAGGTCAGGTATATTAAAATCTAGATAAGCCTTGACATACTAAGTAATGAAATAAAAGCAGTTTTTATGTTATTAAATATATATATACATACATATTTAAAATTGTTTTGTGTTAAAAGCTTTGAACATAGAGCGCTCTGAAACTAGTTCATTGTGATATGTTCATATTTAATTGGATGCTTTTTTCCTTTTGTAAAAAACAACATTTTGCATTGCCTGATTATAAAATATGAGTCTGTATAACCAGACATCTGGAGAACCGATATCCTATTATTAGAATACTGTAATAATGCAATCAGACTTGAAAGTCAGCAAGTAATTGCTCATCTGGCTAAAATAGACAGTGCACAGGTACTTCCATATTGGATGAAATATTGAGTCTGAAAAATTATGCATTAATAAACTCTTAGCATAAACATTAAAAAAATGTAAGAAATTTATATTTATGCCCTGTTTTTTTTCCATTTCTATCATTTCACTTAAAACTTAAAGATTATTTTTTTTATCAGCACCACACAAATATAAATTTTGTTTAAAAAAAGCTATGAGCTTACTGGTTGGTTTAGGAGGTGGAGGTTTCATCTTAGCCTTCTTGGATTTCTTATCATTGCCGTCATTTCCAGGTTTGGCTTTCCTTTTTTCAACTGTTGGCGTGGCTTTAGCACGCTTCAGGAAAGCTTCTCGTTCTTTAAGAAGTGCTGGGTCCATGCTTTAGTGTTGTTTTAAATGACTTCCCTTCAGATCTGAAATAAAGGAATAATAAATTCCAAAGCTTGTTTGATTAATTTGTCAATTTATCTAATGATGAGTTCACAGTGGCCAATAATTTAATTGATAGTATCATTAAAATCTTGATTAGAATTAATTTATTTCCATTCTAGTATATGCAAATTAATTGCAATTGACTTATACTTCCAGACTTATTAACACATCACTTAGGACTAAACACTGAATTTGTAAAGATGGAACAAATCTTGAATTCTTCACATATTTCTCTCAATATAAATGTCATTTAGGCATAATGAACAGCTTCAATTTCAATGAAAATGTTAACTTTAGAAGCTTTATTTATTACCTTGCCATATTTTCACATATCCCAAATATGATAAATTTAACAATAGAAAGAAATTTCATAGCTCATATAGAAGTAATAGAACTGTTTAAATGTGTGTCTTTATTATGTGAAATTCTGACAGTCTGAGAATATATGACCATTAGTCATTAGAATTCCAGGATTTATGTGCCATTCACTTGCAAATAGACAACATAACCCCTACCCCTCCAATAAAAAATATCATAATTTCTTAATGATAATCAATCTGCTCTCTTCCAAAATTTATTTTTTTGTTCATATATCTGACTATATAAACAGGATGGCCCCTTGTTTATTTTATATACTGGTATTCTAGGCCTTATACTATACTAGTCAGTACAGAAATTAGAATATTTTGTGAAGAGACAAAACTCATGAATCAAATGTCTTCTACTAAGTTCTACTGTTGGACCTAGGTAGCGTAAAATCAAATAAATATAATACTATACTAATATCTTTGAAGGTATTCTTATATAATATAAATATAAAATAAGCAATCATGTCTATTGAATTGACAAATAATCTGACGATGAAAAGAATAGAAATAAAATAGGACACTTAGGTCAATTCAGGCCACTATTGGCTTAGCATTAGTAGGTATTAATTACTTTTCTAAACTGGACAAAACAGTTCTAACAAATTAAATGGGAAGAAATTAATACTGCAAAGCTTTGCAATGTGCTGTGTTGTTCAATTCCAATTCAATCAATCATTCATTGGCATTCCCATACATTATACATGATATCATATTATTATTATCATTGCTTAAAAAAAATTTACGGTAAATTTTAAGGATGAATGCCACATTTTTATTGAATTTCACAAATGTATCCCTAAATCGATCCCTATGCCTAACCTGAACCCTAAATCGATCCCTCAACCTAACCTAAACCCTAATTCACTGCAACTATAATAATCACACAAAAGACGCCGTGGCATCCCTCCTTAATATCAGCCAAATTTACACTAGTAACACTAAGACACCATGGCCATGGGTCTCAGTTTTTCTTTACTAGTATAGACCAAGTCACAAGACTATTCTGTATAGCCTAAACTGTATTAGTATTATAAATAGACAATGATTGAATATGTGGACCTGGTAGACTGGTTGATGAATGAATTGAATGAGTGGTTAGAATTAAAAGTTGGGCAATCCTCCGAAGTCCGGCCCCAAATTATTGTGAATGAAAAAAATGCAATACACAGAGTTTATTGTTAGAAAACAGCAGAAATGTCAGTCATAGCTTTTGCAAATAACTGTCACTTTACAAACCAGTCAGCAAATACTAAATATTGTAATTGGCGCATAGCATTTGAAAATACCAGCCGAAAACTTTCTGCTTGTGACTGTTGCGCAACTGAAAGGCCCCCAAGTAGCTGGCAAACAGACCGCTACTAGCACCACTCTGATATCTGAGTTTTCGTTTCGCTTGCATCCAAAGTCCTTCAATATTTTCTGTGTGAATGTCCTGGTCTACTGGATCAACAAATTCACGCCTGTGCACATGACAGTTGGTGCATAAATCCCGTTGTTGAACTGACCGACATTTTGATATCCTCGCCAAAGCGTCCGTGACGATAGTTGTCCTTGGTAACATATGATTAGTGATAATGCACTCGAGTGTTTGTGCATCTCGACGGCCGACAAGCTCCATTGAACATCGTTCACAGCCGCAACCATGAATTTCAAAACAACATGATGTCTAAGACTTTTAAGTAAAGAGTAATCATTGGAAATAATTTGGGACCGGACTTCGGAGGATTGCCAAAAGTTGAATGATTGACACATGATTTTTTTAGTTTGTAACTTTACTACGTCGGCTATTACTAATTCCAACTCATTGTGTGTGTCTAATAACTCAAAGTAACTGTAGTCATTATCATTGGTGATTAGTCACTTACAACAGTAAAAGTAAATAAATGCACTGTGACCACGCACGGAACGGCAGAAGAGGTGATTGTGCCCGTGGTTTAATTTAATTTTTCGCTTCAAAGCCTTAATTTTCGAAGTATATAGGCTACTGAATTTGCTACTAAATAAAGATGCAGCCCCATTTCATATGAATCATACAGCTTTCTCTCAAAGTTAAAGTTTAAATAGGATTTTTTCTTGTATTGTCCTCACCTAAAGGCTAATGATGAGCAGACCAAAATTAATTCAATAAATCCGCGTTGTTTAACCAAAACTAAAACAGTTTTAACTAGGTTTAATAATCGATTTCGTTTTCGTTCTTCGAAATACCTTTATTTCGAAATTTAAGATCAATGGGTTTTTTTCCAATAAGAGAGTTTATTGCCTCGTTAAATAGCTTAATTTATATTCATTGGATAAACATTGCGTGTAACTTTTCTTTCGATAAAAAATTTCGTTTGTTAACCATTTCTCTTGTTACTATTATCTTTGTTGGTAGGCCGTTAACATTAACTATTTTTTAATAACGATTACCGGAACTAGTTATTTTGGAAGGGGAGATCAGTACAATTAATTAAATAAGAAATGTCTATTTATACGTACTTCCCTTAAATACACGCTTCCAAAGTCTTTTTTAAGTTAGGATGACCGATGTGCAAGTTTTTCATTACTCTAGTGACTGATGCCATATATTTAAAATAATTTATAATAAATGTTATAAAATATATTTTATGGTCGTCCAAGTCGATAGAACTCTATTAAGTATCATTGTTTAGACCCAATGCTAGCCGTTATATTTTTTTCTGGTTACGTTGACGTAGCAGTGTTGTTTTATTTTATTTTTTATTATTATTTTTTTTTTTCAAATTTTAATTATTATAAGCTACAGCACTGAGTTACATGTTAAGAGGGATTTTAAAAAAATTTTTTTTAAAAAAATTTTTAAAAAAAAAATGAAAAAAAAAAAAAATCCGTAGAGATTGAATTGGTTGATGTTGTTTTTTATTCAAAAGAGAATCATGTTATTTAATTTTTTTTTTTTTTTTTTAAACTAAATGTTTTCACTTTGACGCTTAACACAAGATTACTAATATATATATATATTGCTTCTGGTGTGTCCTACTTCCTTTTCACATACCCCCACCCTACTCGACATGTTTTATATTAATAGTACTGAGTGAAAAAAAAAAAAGCCGTCACGCGGCGAGCGTCATGCGTGACGGTTGAACTCAGGTAAAAACATTGACTTTTGTCTATAGTGAGGTGGGTGAGGGGTGACTGTACTATCAATCAAGAAAGAGCCAAGGGTATGGTGTGGGACTTTTTGTAGGCAAATTGTAAAGATCAGCAGATAGGGCGTAGGACACTCTGTAAGGTTTAAAGGCCGACAAGTTGAGTGTAGGTCTATCTGTAGGCCTTTGTTTATAAAACAGACCTACACAACATACGGCCCTCGAGCCGCATATGACCCGCCAGCACCCATATGCGGCCCGCGAAGTAACGAAATATTCTGTATTATTTTCTTAATAGCTTCCTGTCACAGAACGGTGGTTACGGAGGAGGGCTCCGGTCCTGACTTAACACAAACTATGTTGACTTAGTAGTGGTCAGTACAGGACCGCTCCTCTCTGTGATTGTTATTGTGGGTGTCTAGGCGTTGAGACAGACAAAAGCACAACGTAGACTTGGACGAAATGCAACAACTCAAACTCCTGGTGTCCAACGATAATGAAAGTGTGTTTATTTGTAAGATATAAGTTCTTCCAGTCATCTGTCGTCTCCTGATCACTAGCAACTATTCCCTAACAACTGCTTGATTCTATCGTAGCTCTTTTCTCTTCCTCAACTACGTCGTACCTCTGTTCCCTCTTCCTCAACTCCCTTAACTCAGTGAAAGCTCCCTCTTATATGTGATTCTCTACCCCCCATAGGTGGTCCAGGAATGCTATCTATAAACACACCCATGCCCCCTAATTTCCGGTCAATTAGACCTTCCCATTGTTAACCCAAAAATTATCATGCGAAGTCTGGAAAACCCGAACATTTATATCAAGATGTGAGAGTCTATTAACCTTAACTTAACCCCATTAACAGCAGTTTCCTTCCATCCTATAAGTTACCTCAACAACAATGGAGCTCTGTCCTGTACCCCCGCCCCAGTCATTTGTGACACTTCCCCCTGTCCTATCATCTTTCGGCCCGCAGTAGCTTTTCATAAAGTTTTACGACCCGCACCAGTTCTTTGCTGAATGTTGCTCATATTGTGCGGGAGGGGGTTAAGTGAGGTTCACAGCGAGGTGCAAAGTCCGTGGACAATCGCCGTAGATTACCGCAGAACATCAACACAAAAATGTGTTTTTAGTTTGGCATTTTCTTTAAACTCGTGACTTTAAAGAAAACAAGCAACTAAAAATGAATCTCATTATTTACCCTCGTAAAAAAATATTTTCTTTAAATTTTGGATCCGTGAATTTCCTCAAGTAAAAGGAGGATCTTAAATCTACACGACAGAAATAAAAGACGCACAATCTTTTTACACGAGGAAGTTGCATACAGGTCATCAGTATTTTGTAAATATTCGATCTGAGTTAATGACATATACACCGACGGATACGACTAAGAACTCTTTGATGACATATTACGGATCTTGGACAATTATTCCGGTGTTAAAACTTGATAAGCCTGCATTAAAATAACCTATTTTTTGTTTTTGTTTCCATTACCGTTCATTTCGTGACCTAAATTGCCTAATGGACATTTTTTTTCCCACACATAAAAGATAATGAAAATGAAAATATTTTGAAGTGTATTTTCCTTGAATTAAAGTGATTTTTAAACTTTGAACAATAATGTGTCAAATAATATGTTAAAATTGCAAGTGGATTCAAGTGCATATGAAGTATTTCTAACTAAAAAGAAACAGGAGTCTCCTATAAAAAACATAAAGACTTTATTTTGGTTTATGTACACATCCAACATATTTAATTGAATACTGTGAAACAAAATAACACAAATATAACTTATTAACACAGGAAGCTATTGAAGCCCACAAAGAAATTTCAATTCAGTAGGCCTGCAGCTGCAGATGGAAGTTTGAGCTTGGCGTGCTTTTCAGAGAGATTGTTGGGATTCGCGTATTGAAGAATATGACCGTGGTAAATATCATCTACTTCAAGAACTGTGTACGCCTTTCCCCTGAAACGAAATGGTTATATAAATATATATATATGATATCAAATGTATAAATGTCATAATTTTTGGGGCCTAATTAGATCAATCATTACGGACATTTGTGGAATGAAAGAATGTGATAAACTGTTCTATCATGAAAAATAGATCAAGACCATTTTTTTTTTTTGACATCGGCTTGTTGCTGGGGCTGAATCTTTCTGTAGGTGCGCAAGGGGACTGCTCAGGCCGATTCTGGCACAAAATGTTCTTTGTGCAGAGAGTGCAGAGCGATGGTTGGGACAAAGCCAGGTACAGAGTTAATTAACGCTGGCTTTTCTGGCACGTCTTTTGTACTCTGCAGCAGCTGTTCTGTTTTGTTTGCCCCATGTTGCATAGAGACTTTGTATACAGAGGAGTGCAACGAATCTATTCTGTGCGGACTGTAGAACGTTTTCAAAAATGCGCTCATTATGTCTTTAAATGTAAAACGTTTACTGCCCCCCCCCCCCCCCTCAAACCTCTTGCCACACTTGAGGTTTCCTTGAAAAATTCTTTTGGCAAGCGGTCGTCTGACATCCCGCCCAGCGAATCTGGAACTGCATTAACAAGGGTTACCGGAAATTTGTGTGGAAGAAATTTCGTCGACGGTAAATTGATCGACGGAAATTTGATCGAACGGAAATTTGGTCGAATCTATTTTTCAGTTCACCCGTTAAAATTTTCGTCAAATTTGTTTTTGAACGCACTATACTAAATAGCAAAAACAAAATAATGCGTTATATCAAAAATTCCGGATAAGATAAATAAGGTGTATATGTTGGGCAAACCTACGTATGCGAGTCTGTCCGTGTTTCACATGCGTATAGTAACGTCGGAAGCACATTGCAGCCACCTGGTAAACTTTTATTTTCGTTTGGATTCTGATGCCTCCCGTACGTTCTTAGACATAAAATAACAAAAGCTTGGCCGATATTGGATACAACCAATGCAATGAGATAGGATGGCTCTGAAAATCTGAGTGTACCTCAAGTGACACGTCCAGGCAGATGGAATGAAGCAGACCGACGACCGCTCTGAATCTGGGTGACGTCAGGTAGAGAGTGGTGACCGGAATGAAGCACCAGCGAAAGACGTCAATGACGTCAAGGATGATCGGATATAACCTGCGTGGTGAGGAGAGCGTATAATACTAAGACTTTGTTTTTATTTGATCTTATTATTCTTATATGGAGGGGTTGAATATGGAGAAAATGACGTCATGCTTCCAGTGGTGGACATTTTATGGGGGGGGGGGGGGTGCTACTTATCTGTGACGAGGGATTCTGGCTTTTTTGTGACGACTTGTGATGATTTTATTTTAGATGGCGGGGGTGTGGGTGGGGTGTGTTGTTGAATGGTCACATGGCATGACGTCATTTAAGGATTGTGAACTAACAGGTGAAATCTAAGCATGGAAATGAAACAATGTATTAAAGAAGCAGGCTCTTTGTATTACTGTTGGAACCATTGATAGTTTCCTTAAGTCCCCAAAGCTGTTGGTGAGCACTGGACAACTTAACCATTGTTAGCAGTGGCGTAAGAAGGGGAGCGGGAGGCTGGTCCACCCCGGGCGTCAATATTTTTTTATGTACATGAAAAGGGGCGCCATTTTCGGCCAACTGCCAACTGCAACATTTCTTTTTTATTGGAAATATAGGGAACGGCACGATTATTGTGTGTCCCTCGTATGGCATTAACACTTGCTACTCCCCTGACTGTATGTATATGTGACAATTGGGCGGAACCCAGAGGCGTAGCTAAGAGCATGGGCAGGGGGGACAGATGTACCTGGGCGCCGGATTAGTTAGGGCGCCAAAATGTGCTTTGATATTATTTTATTGATGTAAATAATGGGTTGTAAGAGTTTAAAAACAGAAAAGGGAGGCTCTTTAAAATGAATCTTTTCCCCGGGTGCCAAACACTCTAGCTACGCCTCTGCAGGGGACCATCACCACTACACAACCACATGACGTGGTAGTATGAGTCACACTAACTCCCAATGACCTACCTTATGTTGACGAAGTAGAAGCCTAGAGCAATGACTATAACGCTAACAGGCAGTCGAAGTGAACTGGAATTCATCAAACTGTGGAAGCTGTAAATAATGATACAATTAATGTACAGGTGAATGGGTGTAAAAATGTTAAGAAATTGTCACAATTAGTTACTGAACCCATGTTACTGAACCCATGTTACTGAACCCATGCGAATCACACGATGAGGTAATATATTTAAAAAAAAAAAGAATCCCATAATGATTGAATTTAAAGGGTCTCTCACACATGCTTCAACGAACCACATTCATGGATTACATATAACCCCACCCCCCCCCTCCCCCCCCCATACTCCCAATGTAAAAATAGATAATTGCCAAAAAATTAGTTAACACACGTCACTCTTGCGTTGACAGCACCCGCTGCTAGTGCACCAAACAGCAATCGTGTATTCTGGCAGTGGCGTATGAAGTGGGGGTCGAGGGTTGTTGTTTTTGTTTTGGGGGGGGGGAGGGGGGGTCTGAACCGTGCGGCAAAATTTTACCTTCATAATGAAGGGCGGAATTTTCGGCCAAAGTATTTTCTTGGAAATTTGGGCGGCAAAGAAACATGACCCACCCTGGGCGGCACAAAATCTAGGCTACGCCCCTGCACAGTTACTACGGTATTGCATACATACAGTTGATTATATCTTTTTAAAAAAAAACAGACCTAGTACTCACATATTTGTTGATTCGCTCCCCTGATCGGTTACACTTGATTGATGGCAGAGTCTCTTACCTCTAATCACATCAGAGTCCATCCTTGACCTTGCCGGTTCCGTTGATATCGAACAATTAGATTAATCTTTTAAAACTCGTTTGAGTAAATGGAATCTGAACAACAGCACGTAAAGAAAAAGAAACAATTACTATTACTTATATATATCTTGCGTTACAGGCATGGGAGTAAAGACTCTTAGAAAACATATTTAACTCGTTAAGTCAGATTTACACCAACTGTCAGTTCGTGCACAGAGAGAAGAAGTCAGATTTACACCAGCTGTCGATTCGTGCATAGATAAGTCAGAGTTACATCAGCTGTCAATTCGCGCATAGATAAGTTATATTCATTTACATCAGATGTCAATTCGTGCATAGATAAGTTATATTAATTTACATCAGCTGTCAATTTGTGCATAGATAAGTCAGATTTACATCAGCTATGAATTCCTGCATAGATAAGTTATATTAATTTACATCAGCTGTCAATTCGTGCATAGATAAGTTATATTAATTTACATCAGCTGTCAGTTCGTGCATAGATAAGTTATATTAATTTACATCAGCTGTCAATTCGTGCATAGATAAGTTATATTAATTTACATCAGCTGTCAATTCGTGAATAGATAAGTCAGATTTACATCAGCTGTCAATTCGTGCATAGATAAGTTATATTAATTTACATCAGCTGTCAATTCGTGCATAGATAAGTCAGATTTACATCAGCTGTCAATTCGTGCATAGATAAGTCAGATTTACATCAGCTGTCAATTCGTGCATAGATAAGTCAGATTTACATCAGCTGTCAATTCGTGCATAGGTAAGTCAGATTTACATCAGCTGTCAATTCGTGCATAGGTAAGTCAGATTTACATCAGCTGTCAATTCGTGCATAGGTAAGTCAGATTTACATCAGCTGTCAATTCGTGCATAGATAAGTCAGATTTACATCAGCTGTCAATTCGTGCATAGATAAGTCAGATTTACATCAGCTGTCAATTCGTGCATAGATAAGTCAGATTTACATCAGCTGTCAATTCGTGCATAGATAAGTCAGATTTTGTAGTCGACAGTTAAGCACGTATCATAAGTCAGATTTACATCAGCTGTCAATTCGTGCATAGATAAGTCAGATTTACATCAGCTGTCAATTCGTGCATAGGTAAGTCAGATTTACATCAGCTGTCAGTTCATGCATAGATAACTTATATTAATTTACATCAGCTGTCAATTCGTGCATAGGTAAGTCAGATTTACATCAGCTATCAATTCGTGCAAAGATAACTTACATTAATTTACATCAGCTGTCAATTCGTGCATAGATAAGTTATATTAATTTACATCAGCTGTCAATTCGTGCATAGATAAGTCAGATTTACATCAGCTATCAATTCGTGCATAGATAAGTTGCATTAATTTACATCAGCTGTCAATTCGTGCATAGATAAGTTACATTAATTTACATCAGCTGTCAATTCGTGCATAGATAAGTTATATTAATTTACATCAGCTATCAATTCGTGTATAGATAAGTTACATTAATTTACATCAGCTGTCAATTAATGCATAGATAAGTTATATTAATTTACATCAGCTGTCAATTCGTGCATAGATAAGTTATATTAATTTACATCACCTGTCAATTCGTGCATAGATAAGTTATATTAATTTACATCAGCTGTCAGTTCGTGCATAGATAAGTTATATTAATTTACATCAGCTGTCAATTCGTGCATAGATAAGTTATATTAATTTACATCAGCTGTCAATTCGTGCATAGATAAGTTATATTAATTTACACCAGCTATCAATTCGTGCATAGATAAGTTATATTAATTTACATCAGCTGTCAATTCGTGCATAGATAAGTTATATTAATTTACATCAGCTGTCAATTCGTGCATAGGTAAGTCAGATTTACATCAGCTGCCAATTCGTGCATATATAAGTCAGATTTACATCAGCTGTCAATTCGTGCATAGGTAAGTCAGATTTACATCAGCTGCCAATTCGTGCATAGATAAGTCAGATTTACATCAGCTGCCAATTCGTGCATAGATAAGTCAGATTTACATCAGCTGCCAATTCGTGCATAGATAAGTCAGATTTACATCAGCTGTCAATGCGGATCGTCCTGAGTAGAAGAGCGGTGTGAAGTAGCTTAGAGCCATATCCGTGATTAACAAGTGTTGGAATCATTTTACTCCTACACTAGGAATAAACTGCTGCCAGTGGGTTTTAACAAATGAGTTGCGTTACACAGATGTGCCACCAAAAAATCTACTATTGTGCCGCTCAGAAAGATGAGGTCATTACATCTAAGTAGGGCATCAAAAAACAACAAGTATGAATAAGCCCCCGAATGAACTAACCCTTCCAAATCTCCCTCTCTCTCTCGCTCTCAAGCTCTCTTTTCTCTTTCTCTCTCAATCTCTCCTCACTCTCTCTCTCTCTCTCAATCTCTCTTTCTCTCTCTCTCTCTTTTAATCTCTCTTTCTCTCTCTGCCTCACTCAATCTCTCTTTCTCAATCTCTCTCCCTCCCTCTCTCAGTCTCTCTTTCTCAATCTCTCTCCTTCTCTCTCTCAATCTCTCAAACTCTCTCTCCCTCTCTCAATCTCTCTTTCTCTCTCTCTCTCTCCATCTCTCTTTCTCTCTCTGCCTCTCCCTCCCTCTCAAACTCTCTCTCTCTCTCTTTCTCCCCATATCCTAAATGCAACAATCCTTCTCACCTCATGGATAAAATGTTCCACACTCTAGTTACGAGATCGCAAGACCCGTGTACCTACAAAATCATCCAAGGTTTGGGGACTATCCTTTGTTTGGCCAATTTTGCTCATATATTTTCTTCCAATATTGCCTTCTTAGAGCTTGAATGAAGTCCCTCGTATCAGATCTTTTCTGGACTGATTCGCATTAAATTCCAGCGGGAAAAAAAAACAAATGGCTACTGTCTGATTGCATTTAATATTCTGCCGTTTAATTGAACAGTACAGGCGAACACAATCGGATTTAGATCACAATCACAATTTTTAAAAAAAAAAAAGAAGAAACCAAT